ATTGAGGTATGCTTTATGTATCAAAAAATTCACCCATGTCAAATGTACAACTAAATGATTTCTAGTGACTTTACTGAGTGGTGCAACCGTTATCAGAAATCGATTTTAGGGCCGGCCCGGGGACGCACTCGGGAGAGTGCGGCGCTGGGAGCGCAGCGACGCTCCCGCCGCGGGTTCAGATCCTATATAGGAATGGCTGATGCGCTCACTGGCTGAGCGCAGTGCGGGTGAAACCACACCAAGGGTTGCGATCCCCTTACCAGTAATGAAAAAGACAAAAGAAAAAAAAAAATCGATTTTAGTACACTTTCTTCCCCCGTGATAAGATCTCTCATGACCATCTACAGTTAATCCTCATCCCTAGGAAACCACTAATCAATCCACTTTTGTCTCTATAAATTTGCCTATTCTGGACATTTTAAATGGAATCTTAAGATATGTAGTCTCTTGTGTTTGATTTTTTTTCACTTCACATAATGTTTCTGAGGTTCACTCATGGTAGAGCATGTGTCTGTAATTTGTTCTTTTATTATTTCTGAATAATATTCCATTTATAGATATACCACTTGCTGTTTATCCATTCACCAGTTGATGAATACTTAGATTGTTTTCAGCTGGGGATGCTAACACAACACTGCTATGAATGCCTATGTGCAAGTCTTGTGTGAACATGTTTTCATTGCTGTTGGGTGGATACATAGGAGGGGAATTGTTGGCTATTATGGTACTTTTATGTTCAACATTTTGAGAAACTGCCAAACTTTTTTCAAAGTAGCTACACCATTTCATGTTTGCACCGACAGTGTATGAGGGTTTCTGTTTCTCCACATGTTGACAACATTTATTATTGCCTGTATTACTTATTATAGCCATTCTGGTGGATGTGCAGTGGTATTTCGCTGGTGTTTTAGATGGCATTTTCCTAATGATTAATGACATTGAGCAACTTTTCATGTGCTTATTAGCCATCCATGTATCTACTTCGATGTAATGTCTGTTTATATCTTTTGCCCATTGTTTGATTGATCTGTTTTTATTCTTATTATCTTATGATAATTCTTTGTATATTCTGGATATATTGCATATGTGTTTGCAAATACTTTATCTCAGTCTATTGCTTATCTTTTCATTTTCTTCATGGTGTCCTTTGAAGTGCAAAAGTTTTTAATTTTGATGAGGTATAATTTATTGATTTCTATTTTATGGACTATGCTTTTGATGCTATATCTAAGAAATCTTTGCCTAACTTTATTATATCTTTAACTTTCTTCTCACTTATGTTTAGGAAAAAAATTATTTTTGTCTATTTATCTTCTATACTGCCCATTTTTACAAATTCTGCCCTGTATTAAATTCTAAGAATTTTAGTCTTGATTCTCTTGGGTTTTCTAGGTCACTTCTAGAATTTTTAATCATATCCAATACATACAAATAATACAAAGTTTAATCATAACTACTCAAGTTTAAGTACTAAGTGTGCTATGGTTTTTGCTAGGAAGATCTCATACAGGACATTGTTCTTGGTTCTTTCCATCACATTTTGAGAAAGACACGTACCAACTAGTGCAGGCAAAGAGAAAGACTGGTACTAGATGATGAAGGATCTCATAACCAAATGGCATAAGGAATAAATCCTAGAATTGAGGACATTTAGGCTAAGAACAAAAAAAGTGTTCAACCTTAAGTAATAAAATGTTGTAAAAGGAACAGATTTGTTTTTAGGTTGTTTTTAAGAACATTCTTCTTCTGTTGATGCTGTTTCTCATGTTGAGCTTGGAACTTTTTGAAAGCTCTTGGTCTTTTTCATGTCAACTGCCATCTACCATATCTCCCCCATTCTGTGTGTATGCAAGTGCTTGCTAGGTTGGTTTTAAGAACATTCTTCTTCTGTTGATGCTGTTTCTCATGTTGAGCTTGGAACTTTTTGAAAGCTCTTGATCTTTTTCATGTCAACTGCCATCTACCATATCTCCCCCATTCTGTGTGTATGCAAGTGCTTGGAAGGTTACTTTGCACTTACCCCCTTAAATTTGCCTTTGTTGGGTCTAGCCCATCATTTTTAATTGTTAAATTTTTTTAGGATTTGGTCTCTCTTCCTTATAATCAATTATTTCTTAACTCAAGTTATCAATAAAGATATTGGACATCGGGGAGCTGAGTCCCGGGCATGCCAGCAGAGGCCTTCCTTTGGGTAGACATTGTTGCATTCATGTTCCTTCCTAGGCTATAGTTATTAAGCCACATGGTAGGCAGAATTCTAACAATAACCCCCAGTGACCTTTACCCTTGTAGAACCCTCTTCCCTTTGAATGTAGGTGAAAACCATGAATGTGGTGATATCATTGTCATGATTATATTTGAGAAATGACATCCAGTTCCAAGGATTTCTTTAAAGGGATTCTCAAGTTTTCTATGAGAAATCTATTTTTGTGAAACTTTGCACTCCTGGACTCTCAAATTCCTTGAGAGCCTTGCAGGTCCAGAGAGAAGAGGCCTGGGATTGCTAGGATTGCCCTCTGGCTACAGAGGAGGTAACCATGGGACAGAAAGGGGAGAGGGAGCAGGGTGGGGTAAGTTGTCTGAGTTTTGGGACTCTGCTGGCTCAGGCAGCTGCCTTTCCTCCTGGGAGATACAAGGTTAGGGCAGGGCTCCAGTAGTTCTAGAGGAAACCCAAGGCGCCAGGAGAGATGGAAGGCATTGGGACTAATCTGGAGCCAGAAACTCAGAGCCCAGGAGAGCAGGTGTGGTTAAGGCTGCACATAGCTAGATCTTCATAGAGTCCTAACTATGATTGTTTTAAAGAGGACAGAAGTGTTACCAAATGGTAACAGTGGCCAAGAAAGACAATAGAAGACCCAACTTTTCCCCTTAACCTTGAATCATGTTGCCTCTCTTTGTGGCTTCTCTGATGGTCATTGTTCTACTGTCCACAGGGAAGCTGAGGCAACTGCATAAGTCCAGATGCCCAGGGTTAAATGCAGCCCAGGTCCACATGATCAGCTGAGTCAACTTATTCCATTACACAGGAAAACTCGAGGTGGAAAAATAATTCTGCATACCTCTCCTCTCTGCCTCTGAAAACTGCCTTCCTGATTCTACTTTCAAAGGCTGAAACAGATGAGGGATTTTGCACTTAATTAAAGCAGAGAAAGAAACTCACTTCAAGTCCTTTCAAAACCGTCTTGGTTCTAGGCTTAGTGAACTCAATAGAGACCCAGTCACCATGACTCAGATTCTCCAGTCAACTCACTACATCAGATTCAGAAACAGGAGAGAAATAATTTCAGAGGTTTAGCCTCTGAAAAGTCAAGAATCTATGCATTGATTTGTTAGATATTAAAAAGTTAGAGCAATGGCACAATTTTAACAGCTTTATTGAGGTATAATTTACATGCCTTAAAGTTCACTTGTAGTATACAATCAATGATTTATAGTAAGTGTACAGAGTTGTGCAACCATCACCACAATCTAGTTTTAGAACATTTGCCTCACCTGTATGTGCGGCAAATCTCTGCTCTACCCCAAGCTCAAGAAACCACCAATCGACTGTTTGTCTCTATTTTTCTTTTCTGGACCTTTCACATACATGAAATGATAATATGCAATTTCTTGTGTCTGGCTTCTTTCACTTAGCGTAAGGTCTTTGAAGTTTATCATTTTGTAGCATGTTCACTACTTTATTCCTTTATGTTGCTGAAGAGTATTCCAGTGTGTGGATATACCACACATTTTGTTTATCCATTTGCAGATGACAGGCATTTGGGTTGTTTCCAGTTTTTTTGCTGTTATGAAGAAGTACAATAAACAAGTGCATACAGTGCTATGCACAAGTCTGTGTGTGAACACATGTTCTTATTTCTCTTGGGCAAGTTCCTAGGAGGGGAATTGCCGAATCATCTAATAAGCTTTAGCATTAATGAAACTGCCAAGCTCTCTTCCACGTGGCTGTACTGTTAGACATTCCCACCAGCAATGTACGGGGTTTCCAGTATTTTCACATCCTTGTCAACACTTGTTTTTTTCTGTCTTTTGATTATAACCATCCTAGTGGGTATGTAGTGGTATCTCATTGTAGATTTAATTTGCATTTCCCTAATGACCAATGGTGTTGAATATCTTTTTATGTGCTTATTACTCAAAGGCCTATTTTAAATTGACACTAAATGGAAATACGAGTCCTTTTTTAAAATACCAGAAATAAGCTTAAAACTGAGTTTATTTTATTGCCATTGGTAAAAATAGTCACAGGAGAATTAAATATATTGAATGATGGATCCATTCATTCATGGATTCAGTCATGTATTTCATAAATAGTGGTTGAGGGCCTGTGTATGCCTAGAGCTGTGCTAAGCTCTGGAGATGAAACAATGAATAAGACATAGCCCTGCCTTCATGCATGTTATGAGGGTATACATGGAAAATGTATGTGATGTGTGTCATGGGAATTTAAAGTGGAGGAGAGTGGAGTGGGAGCTCAGCTGAGGGGCATCTGTTCACTCACCCTAGTGTTGGGGGATCTGGGGACACTGAATGGGTGAAGCAATGTCAAATATGAGTCCCAGGAGGTCAGTAGCAATTAGCCAGACAAAGGTTGAGGAGGAACATCTTCCAGGTAGACTGGAAGGGTTGGGGGCTCGGTGGGAGGAGGGAGAGGGACAAGCACAGTCCTAGTGTGTCTGGCGAGTGACCATAGCTCAATGAGACTGAATCCTAGAGTGCGGGAGCTCAGGGGAGAGGAGCAGTGAGAAATGAAGCTAGAGAAGCAGGCAGGGGCAAGGTCAGAAAGAGTCCAGCAGAGAGACGCTGATGCCCTTTAGGGAGGGAGCGTCAGGTGACACTGCACTATGGAAAGTCCTCCCCACAGTGGTGTGGGGGACAGACATAAGTGGGAGCCTCTGGGCTCTCCTTCACTGAAGTTGTATCAGACCTCACATAGCCCTATCTCACTGGGACCCAGCAGAGCCACCTAATGGATGACACTTCCCTCCTGTGTTCGGCAGGTGCTACATCACCCTCACCCAGTCTCTGCACCTGACCATGAGTGGGGCTCCAGCAGGACCTGCAGGCACAGGCAAGACCGAGACCACCAAGGACCTGGGCCGAGCGCTGGGCATCATGGTCTACGTGTTTAACTGCTCAGAGCAGATGGACTACAAGGTACAGGGCAACCCAGCTTCAGGGGGAACTAGCACCCGAGTGGCAGGTTTATCCATGTCACTGTGGCCCACCTTCCCCAAGTCTCAGAGCCCAGACTAGGAGGTCCCTGCTTGTTCCTTCACAGTAGATCTGAGGCTCTTTGACCCCTGGAGCTTGTGGGCCTCCCCATAAACCTCTGATGTGACAAGAAGGCACAGCGCCGTGGATTCCAATTCTTCTAATGAGCTTTGTGATCACAAGTGGCTTAGTTTCCCTTTTGAGTCTTCCTTGAGTAGACTGAACATACAGCATATCCAAAGTCTTAAATTCAATATGTGACCCAAAGCACGGAAAGGCTCGTAAGTAGCCAATGTGAAGATACCAGTCTTCACATAGAAGCTGTATTTGTGCTCTTCTGCAAAAGTGGACATTCCCCAGAATATCTACAGGTCCAGAATATTCTATAAAGGCAGGTGTGACTTCTGAAAACAGACTAGATTAACCTCTTCTCACAGCAAGAGATGCCCAAGTACAAAGCATCATTCGGGTGCTCATCATTTTTTAAGAACTAATGTATCCCAGGTTCTGAGTCATAGAGAAAAGCCAGAGAAACAAAAGGCCCATAGGTCATATCTTTGCTAGAAACATTGTGCTCAGAACTGGACCTTGTATAGATTATTTTTTGAATAATGTGTAATAACAGGCCCCCTCAATGTCTCATGATTTTTATTTTATTATATGGTATGTGCTTTTGTAAACTGTCTTAAGTCTCTTTTGTAAACAGGATAACATATAAATTAGAGTGGAACAAACAAAATAACTGCATTAAAAAGATTAGATATTTATTTATAAATTATGTGATATATTGATTGTAAAATAAATCTAATGTAGAAATATTTTTAGAGATTGTGAGATGACACTTGCAGTACCACAAATATGACTCTTTAAAAGAGATTCATCTTCTATAACTTTAATAATTTCCACGGTATATAATTTTGCTGTGCAGAGTTGCAGCATCCTATGTTACCATGTTTTCTCATAGCAGCAACAAAACGGGGATCCACACCCAAAATAACTGTCCTCCCCATGTTCTGTATCCCCTAGATATTAGCAAGAGTGATTTTATTGATGAACATATTAAGGTCATGTATCTCTTCAAGTCAGGCTGGAAGAAGAAAAAGATTTTCCCCTTTAAAGATATAAATTTGGCCTTAAGGATTATTTTAAGTTTTTACGTTCTTCTATAGTTGAGCGTTGGTGGCATTGCTGAAATAAGTATGCTCTCCCATGAGGAACCTTCTGGAAGACACACTCATGTAGATGCGGAAGACGTGATCAGCTGGATTTCTTCAAAGTCACAACTAGCACAGCAAACAGGAAGGGATGAGCTGGCTCCATGGCCAGAGTCACTAAGGCCATTTTACCCAATCCTTTCAGAACCAATCACTGACCCCCAACCCCACGAAATTCTCTAAAAGTACAGATGAGCGGGGAGTCTATCCTTGGTTCGTTTGAACTGTGAGTGAAGCTTCCGTCCTTGAGTCTAGGCTGGACACAGGTTAGCAGCATCAGTAGGTATAGTCGTGATGAACACACCAGAAGGAAGGCAATCACCCGCGAAGCGCGAAATACCCCTGTAGCCAGACAGCCTCACTCAGTTTACACACCGCCTCTGTGCTTTGTTGTTCAGCTGTTCAGATTTGTTTTTTTACTGTAAAACACGCCAGCAATAAAGTTAGTTGAGTATTGCCGTTCTCAGCATGTGCTGGACATTGTGGGAGGACATCAAAAATAGATCATATGTACGGATAGAAAGGTGGATAGACAGATAGATAGACAGATGATAGGTGATTAATAAATCAATGATGGATGATAGATGGATTACAGGTAGATGACAGATGATAGGTGATAAATAGGTGGATGATATGTGATAAATTAATGATAGATGGATTATAGATAGATGATGGATGATAGATGGATTATAGATAATAGCTGATAAATAGATGATAGATGGATTATAGATAGATGATAAACAGATGATAGATTAAAGTAGAATAGATACATGATAGATGTAAATAGATGATAAATAAATGAAAGATTGATGATAGGAATATATACAGATGATAAATAGATGATAGATGGCTGATAGATGGTAAATAGATCAATTGTAGGTAGATAGATATAAACACGATAAATAGATAGGTAGATAGATGGACAGAAAGAGTATAACCCAGTCTCTCTGGAGGGGACAAAACGTACATGAAATAATTAGGGGAGCTAGTTAGCACCCAGACAGCATAATCCTCAGGCTGTTTAAGTGTTGGTGTTACTGCCAAACAGGGCCTGACCCATTAAGATGTCAGCTGTAAAGCTGTGACCAAGTTCTAGGTGTACTGACATCCTTCCCCCGCCCTTGTTCTGACTTCACCCCTGAGCTCTCTGCACAGGTCCTGGTTGTGACGGCTGACATCCTTCCCCCGCCCTTGATCTGACTTCAACCCTGAGCTCTCTGCACAGGTCCTGGTTGTGACGAGGAGAGGAAGGGCCAGGAAGAGCTGCCGTGCATTTCTCCAGGGGTCATTTAGACGGGTCACTCATGCACTCACAGCAATGTATTCTGTTCACTGACATCCTTCCCCCGCCCTTGTTCTGACTTCACCCCTGAGCTCTCTGCACAGGTCCTGGTTGTGACGAGGAGAGGAAGGGCCAGGAAGAGCTGCCATGCATTTCTCCAGGGGTCATTTAGACGGGTCACTCATGCACTCACAGCAATGTATTCTGTTNTGCATTTCTCCAGGGGTCATTTAGACGGGTCACTCATGCACTCACAGCAATGTATTCTGTTCACGTCTCTGCAGAGTAAGGCTAGAAACAGACACGGAACAGTGGCCGAGCTACCTGAGACAGGACCGGGGAACAGCAGGAGCAGGCAATGGGGCGAATAAGGAGGGGAAGTGTGGAGCCACTGAGAGGAGCTCACCTTAGGGGGTGGCTACATGAAGTGCGTGCAGACATCAAAGCAGGAGCAGAAGCATCAAAGTGGTGTTTAAGGAGGATACCTTGACAGCCAGATGAATTAAGACAGGAGGAGACTGAGAGGAGGTAAAGTTTTGGGTGAGAACATTGTAGTCATTCAAACTGGGGAGGGGGTGAGAAGCCAGATGGTGGGGTAGCAGAAATGGAAAAGAAAGAATAAGAGGCATTTTTTTAAAAAGAGAAGAAAAAAAAAAAGGTCATTGGTACCTGGGAACACAGGGAGGTGGGAGAGGTGAAGCAGAGGGAGGAGTTAGGAGAGTTTGGGCTGTCGTGGGGGCCCCGGCAATGCCCTCTGCCTCAGGAGCTCTGCAGGGGCCGTCATCCCGTTCAGCTCCATGAGGACTGGGGCCACAGGTGGCTGCAGTGGATGCGGAACAGTGTGAAGACTTGGGGGAAAGGGAAAGTTATTACTTCAGTCTCTTAGGGCTGGTTGGAAAACCCATAAAACTAGCCATTTCCTCTGGAAATGGTTGCAGTTTCAGTGCAAGACGTTCTTTATATGATAGCAGCAATACTTTCCCCCTTGACCTCAGTTTGGAGCAGCTGTTGCAGAAACATCAAGTGGGTTTGAGCCTGGAAGCATGTGCAGTTGTTTCTGAGCCTCTGCACAGTGTCACGCTGCAGACGCCTCCCCTGGAGACTCTTTTCTCCCTTGGCTTCTGAATCGTCATGCTTCCACAGTCCTCCTCCTAACCCTCTGGTCTCTTGGCTTCTCGATCGCATTTGCTGATCTTTTTTATAATTTCTGATTTGATGTGTGTCCTGAAGACTCCTACATGTACTCTCCACGTTCAGTCTCCCTAAGGGGCAATGACGTCCCCGTTTGGATGCCCTTCTCTCAAATTGTGGTGAACGCTCTGCTTTCCTCCCTGCCAGATTCCTCAGCTGTCAGTAACGATCATCTCACTTTCCCTGCGATCCTGGTAGAAATCTGAAGGCATCCTGGGTGTCCCATGTCCTTCCTTCCCTAGTTCTCCCTTCACCATGCCTCTCACCCCAGACCTTGACTCAGTTCCTCGTGCCCATATCCTAGTCCAGACGCTCACCACCTCCTGGCACGGTGACAGCTCAGCCTTGCTAATGGTACCATGAGGTGCGTGGTGGGGGTAAGTCCTGGCTCTGTCTCAGGTCCCTGGGAGGTAAAGTGTGGGAGTGGCAAGCATCTGCCTATGGAAGCTCACTCTTTTATGTACTGGGTTTCCATTTTATAAAAGGAACCCACAGCTTCCAAAGCTTCCAAAACCACCGTTAAGCATAGATTTTGATCTCTGAATTTTCACTTAGTATTTGGGACACTTGACAGGTTAATATAGATAAATATATAGATATATAGATATATATGAGGGTACTTCAAAAAGTTTGTGGAAAGTAGAATTAAAAGATAAAGCAATCTGTAACACCGAGGTCAAGGGTTCAGAGCTCCATACTGGCCAGCTGCAAAAAAAAAAAGGAATCTTTCCGTGAACTTTTTAAAGACCCCTCACACATATATATACACATATACGTATATATATATATACATATATATACACATATATATACATATATACGTATAAACATATGTGTATATATATGTATATATATTGGGGCACCTGTCGAGTATATATAATAAATATATATAGTTTTATATGTATATAAAATCTCCTCCTGTAAGATTGTTTTGAGAACAAAGTGGAATAGTCTAAAGCACACAAACACAATGCCTGGAACTGACGTCACTTGCTGAGAGAAACTGCCCCAACTACTTATCTGAAGTAGCCACTGTCACCCTCTTCTTAAGANTGCATTTCTCCAGGGGTCATTTAGACGGGTCACTCATGCACTCACAGCAATGTATTCTGTTCACGTCTCTGCAGAGTAAGGCTAGAAACAGACACGGAACAGTGGCCGAGCTACCTGAGACAGGACCGGGGAACAGCAGGAGCAGGCAATGGGGCGAATAAGGAGGGGAAGTGTGGAGCCACTGAGAGGAGCTCACCTTAGGGGGTGGCTACATGAAGTGCGTGCAGACATCAAAGCAGGAGCAGAAGCATCAAAGTGGTGTTTAAGGAGGATACCTTGACAGCCAGATGAATTAAGACAGGAGGAGACTGAGAGGAGGTAAAGTTTTGGGTGAGAACATTGTAGTCATTCAAACTGGGGAGGGGGTGAGAAGCCAGATGGTGGGGTAGCAGAAATGGAAAAGAAAGAATAAGAGGCATTTTTTTAAAAAGAGAAGAAAAAAAAAAAGGTCATTGGTACCTGGGAACACAGGGAGGTGGGAGAGGTGAAGCAGAGGGAGGAGTTAGGAGAGTTTGGGCTGTCGTGGGGGCCCCGGCAATGCCCTCTGCCTCAGGAGCTCTGCAGGGGCCGTCATCCCGTTCAGCTCCATGAGGACTGGGGCCACAGGTGGCTGCAGTGGATGCGGAACAGGGTGAAGACTTGGGGGAAAGGGAAAGTTATTACTTCAGTCTCTTAGGGCTGGTTGGAAAACCCATAAAACTAGCCATTTCCTCTGGAAATGGTTGCAGTTTCAGTGCAAGACGTTCTTTATATGATAGCAGCAATACTTTCCCCCTTGACCTCAGTTTGGAGCAGCTGTTGCAGAAACATCAAGTGGGTTTGAGCCTGGAAGCATGTGCAGTTGTTTCTGAGCCTCTGCACAGTGTCACGCTGCAGACGCCTCCCCTGGAGACTCTTTTCTCCCTTGGCTTCTGAATCGTCATGCTTCCACAGTCCTCCTCCTAACCCTCTGGTCTCTTGGCTTCTCAATCGCATTTGCTGATCTTTTTTATAATTTCTGATTTGACGTGTGTCCTGAAGACTCCTACATGTACTCTCCACGTTCAGTCTCCCTAAGGGGCAGTGACGTCTCCGTCTGGATGCCCTTCTCTCAAATCGTGGTGAACACTCTGCTTTCCTCCCTGCCAGATTCCTCAGCTGTCAGTAACGATCATCTCACTTTTCCTGAGATCCTGGTGGAAATCTGAAGGCATCCTGGGTGTCCCATGTCCTTCCTTCCCTAGTTCTCCCTTCACCATGCCTCTCACCCCAGACCTTGACTCAGTTCCTCGTGCCCATATCCTAGTCCAGACACTCACCACCTCCTGGCACGGTGACAGCTCAGCCTTGCTAATGGTACCATGAGGTGCGCGGTGGGGGTAAGTCCTGGCTCTGTCTCAGGTCCCTGGGAGGTAAAGTGTGGGAGTGGCAAGCATCTGCCTATGGAAGCTCACTCTTTTATGTACTGGGTTTCCATTTTATAAAAGGAACCCACAGCTTCCAAAGCTTCCAAAACCACCGTTAAGCATAGATTTTGATTTCTGAATTTTCACTTAGTATTTGGGACACTTGACAGGTTAATATAGATAAATATATAGATATATAGATATATATGAGTGTACTTCAAAAAGTTTGTGGAAAGTAGAATTAAAAGATAAAGCAATCCGTAACACCAAGGTCAAGGGTTCAGAACTCCATACTGGCCAGCTGCAAAAAAAAAAAGGAATCTTTCCGTGAACTTTTTAAAGACCCCTCACACATATATATACATATATACGTATATATATACATATATATATATACATATATACATATAAACATATGTGTATATATATATGTATATATATGGGGCACCTGTTGAGTATATATAATAAATATATATAGTTTTATATGTATATAAAATCTCCTCCTGTAAGATTGTTTTGAGAATGAAGTGGAATAGTCTAAAGCACACAAACACAATGCCTGGAATTTACGTCACCTGCTGAGAGAAACTGCCCCAACTACTTATCTGAAGTAGCCACTGTCACCCTCTTCTTAAGACTCCAGTGGGACTAACCATTCTCTGATTTTGTGTTGCTGCTGTTCGTTGTTTGTTTCCGCCACGAGAACGTAAGCCCCGTGAGCACAGAGGCTTTGTGTATCTTGTACACTGCCAATTCTTTATGACCTGAATTAATCTCTGGCACACAGTACATGCTCAATAAATATTTTTTAATCAATAAAGGAATCCACCAATTCCAGGAGATTAATAAAATGTGGGATTTATCTTTTCCTTGCTCTTTAAAGTCTGCTCCACATCCAACCTAGTCTATGCCAACATTTCGACTGATTCTCCCTGAACATTGCTTTAGTTATGTTCTCTCCAAACCTCCAAAGATCCCTCAAAATAACTGAAGGCTTTTTATAAGCAGGACCTTCCTTAGTAATTCAACTTTCCATCCAGAATTTTTCTCTGCACACATCATTATTTCGCTCATCTTTCTTCCATATTTTTCTACCTCCTGAAAAGCATTTCCCTTCCATTCTGTCTGCACAGAGACTCCTATCCTATAAAGCTGGCATTTCCCATGTGTGTTCTGAAGCAAATAGTTCTGAGATACCAGTACCTGAGATCTTCTGACTATATTCTTGTGATTTTTCCACTATACTAATGTTTGCCTGAGTGCATTCTGAGAAAATCAGCAGTTACATGAGGGAAAAAAATCTCAGCCATATAACAAAGTTAAATTAATTTTTTGTTGCAGGAGTTCTCAGGACCTTTAAAATGCTAATATATATTGTAACTTGGCAAAAGTGGGTTGTAGAATGTAGTGTTTCCCAAACGGGCTTGACCACAAAGCCCTTCCTGCAAGGAGCATGCTCAGGTCTGGTGTTCCATGAAATAAACTTGGGAAAGTGCTGTTGTACTATCATCTGATATTCACCTCTTTGGCAAAACTGACCACTCTGGAGCACTTTGATCCACCCTTTCTGAATTCTGTGACATTGGTGGTCTATTTTATCCATTAGAACCACTGCTTATGTAGAAATTTTTCTGTTTTATTTGTATACCTTAACTCCACAACCTAACTAAAAGTTCTCAGAAAGACTGAGCTTTCCTGTGTCTAGCACATGATCTAGGCACAGAGTTGATAGTAAAAAAAAAAAAAAAAAAAAAAAAAAAAAAAAAAAGTCTACTGAATAAATGAATGGGACTTTTGCATTATTTGCATTTTCCAGCATTTTAATGTCTGCTTAAAAATGACCTTGAGAATGTCTTCCAGTAAGTTGTTGCTTTATATAGCTAGTTCACATTGAATGCCCAGAATAGTTTTTATTTTTAGAGCAGAAATACTTTTTTCCCTTTCAAATTATTTCCTTGCTCTCATTTGAAGAGATTTACCTGTAGTTTATTTTATGAGATGTTATCGCCTCCTGTCCCCGTCTCCAGACCCCCACCACTCTGAAAAATCTGGGTGGTTGGGTATGGATTTAAAGATACAGACATAAACTTTTCCATTGTGCATGCCAAAGGCTGAGTGGAAGGCTTTTTGTCTGTATGGTGTTAAAAAATATCATCTTTTATTCATTTCCTGGGATTTTGGAAGCTGCAGAATAAACAGTAATGCAACCCTTATGATATTTTAAAAGGATTTTCATCCAACTGTCTTAAAAAGGTTCTGTTCGATCCCATGAGTTATGTTGGCACCCCATTACCATCAAAAATTTAATTGTTCTTGAAATTTTAATATCACTTTCTGACCAGTGGTCTCTAGGGAACTGAAAGTGTTTGTAATAGAGGAAGGAAAATGACTTGGACATGTATTGATAAGACCAGTGCTGTTGGTAATTTAATCTGTGTACATTTTGTTGCAGTCTTGTGGCAGCATCTACAAGGGCCTTGCTCAGACTGGTGCCTGGGGCTGTTTTGATGAGTTTAATCGAATCTCCGTGGAAGTCTTGTCAGTGGTGGCCGTGCAGGTAGGGACCAGAAGCTGGCGGGAGACTTGTGGTCTTCACATCAAGTGCTGTGGAAGTCTGTTGCATTCTCTTGTTTTCATCCTCTCCTCAGCTCCCACGTCTCTTTTCCCTTGCCCTTTCATGCCCCTTGCTCCACCTTCTAAATCAGGCCAGAGGGAGAGTCTCCTCCAGCGTGGGTATCCTGCTGTTACCCAGCAAAGTGAGATTCTATTTCCTTCTCTGTAAAATGGGAATAAAGACTATTTGCCCTACCTGCTTGATTTGGGTGCAGAAAAGATCCACCAAGATGGCATAGCCCAGCTCCTTGCAAAGGTCATGCACTTTGGATATAGACCAGGGCTGACATTTCAGCTCTTCCATTTCCCATTGTAGTCTTTGTGCAAGTTGCTCCACCTCTCTTGGCCTAATTCACTCAATTATATATAAAGTGAGGACAGCATGAACATCATCAAATGAAGTCATTTTTTGGTCAGATTTTATGTAAGCATGCCACTTCTCTTTCAAGTCATCCAGAAAGCATTTATTGACTACCTATGACATAGTGAGAACTGTGCTAAAGATGGGGATGAATGTCCCCAGCTGAGAAGGACATGATCGCTAACTTTAAAAAGCTTGAGTTCTTGGGATAGACGTGAACGCTTTCTGTGTTCTAGAAGTAATTTGAATTCTGACTCACAGTATGGGATGACTTCCAAGTACAGTATCTTGAAGCCAGCCCTTGAAAGGATGAAGAGGATTCAATTCTGGGTAAGAATCCCATTGACAATGTAAGCAACAAAAGGGGCAAGAGGGAAGGGACGACACCTTGTTGAAAGTCTGTTCTTTCTTGGCACTTCTCATATGTCATCTCTTATAGCCCCACAATGGCCCTCCAAGCCATGATTATCCCCACTATATATATGGAGAAACCAAAGATCAGAGAAGAAAAGTCACTTGTCCAGGGGCGCACTGCTGGAAAGTGGCAAGGTTGTGATCTGGACCCAGCAGCCCTACCCATGCTGACTGGGTGCAGATCAGGGCACAGGTCTGGCATCTAGGAGGTAAAATGCTACAGGAGAAAACAAGGCTAGAGCAAGCAGCAGGCTTGAACCAAGTAGTGGACAGACTTAAATTCCTTCCTCAGTAGGCAACAGGCAACCCCTGAAGATTTCTGGGAGATGAATGATCCCTCTATTTGGCAGCCGTTTTAAGGAGAGACTGAGCAGTAGGAAGATTGATGGTTGAAGTCAATTGAGGGTCTGCCATGGGGGTCCTGATTGGAGCTGCAAGGGCTCCAACCCCCCCGGAGCTCACCATTACCAAGATGAAGCATATTGTTTGCCAGCACCTGTTTCCACACCACTCCCTGTAAACTAAGGGTCCACATTTCCCATTTTAGAGCCCATCTCCCACCCATACCTCAACAAGGAAAAGCAATTATAAAGGTACCACGTAATGACAAAAGCTGTGGTGATGGGCTCGGGACAGTGGTGTGCCTGGTGCTCCTAGTTTGTGCCCACACACCATATAATTAAAAATGGTTTAATTTTGGTCTTATTCGCTTCTATTTCCAAAGCGATGTGTATACAGTACAAAGAAAAAGATAGCTATGAGAGACTCTTTGGTTCTGATTCTTTCACGTCCAGACAGAGGAATAAGGAAAACATTCAGCTTGACTGTTATGTTTCTTAGGCAAGTGTGTGGGGTTGAGAGAAAGGACAGCAGAAGGGGGTGGGAGAGAACTCTAGGCAAACAGTCGTCCATGGTAGGAGAAGCCTCTGAGGCAGTACTGCTGCCTCCAGCTGGCCTGTCTGCCCTGGCAGGGACCATCCTCCACCCGCATAACTCCCATGTGCTGTTCCTCTCTCGTCCAGCATGCTATTTCCATCTCAGGTGAGCTGGACTTGGAGCTGTGGGCAGGGCACCAAAGCAACTGCAAGGCTGAACAGTGCTGGAACTCACACCGACACCTAATCCACAACCCACCCTCCCTTCAGCTGCCACTGGGAGCCACAGGTGGTCAAGGGGCTCTGCAGGGTCCCTGCACTTACCCCCATCCCAGGTGGTCCGTCTCTCCCATCTCTCATGTTTGACACCCTCTTCTTGTCTCTTGTCCAGACTGTTCGTTGGTGAAGCTCCTGAAAGTTGCCAGAATGTGAGGCTCTTCTTTAGTTTCCAGTGACGAGATATGGTTTTCCCTTCCCTTAGGTCTGTTCTGTTCAGTAGTTAGTAGAGGAAGAAAGACACATTGTTGGCCTAAACACCCTCTTGGACCAAAACCCTTTACTTGCTTGGCCCAAAAGAGCTGACTGTTCACATTTCAGCGGGTCAGGTTGGTGTGGCTTGAAATGGGCTGAGGTGGGAGTATGTCCTTTATGAAAATTGGTGAATTCTATAAATCAAGGGCATTTTCATTTTTCTGGAGAACCGGTTGTTCAACATTTACCCACACACCTCTGCCTCACAAGAATGTGAGCTTGCTGTGGCCAGACCTTTTAAACTTTAAGGACAAGATGAATGCCCAGATTTTTATAGGAAATCAAATATGTCTTCTGGCTGCTTTTCCCAATGGTTCTCACTTCACAACCCGAAACGATGCCCTCTGAGGTCTGTTTGAATTTTGGGTACTAATCCATTCTGGGGTATAAGATGTAGAGTAAAAGCAGTAAACTAAATCTTTCTCAGAGTTCTACCTCTAGGCCTAGAATGGGCCTGAACATCCAGAGAGAAGCCTAGGCTTTTCACCACTGGGGTCACTGGGAATGGTTTTGTTTTCTACCATTTTGACCTGTGATTATATCTTGGACTTGGGGTTTTTCTCCTTACTTCTCCCACCACAGATATTTTAGCAGCTGATATCTTTGGTCACTGGGAATGGTTTTGTTTTCTACCATTTTGACCTGTGATTATACCTTGGACTTGGGGTTTTTCTCCTTACTTCTCCCACCACAGATATTTTAGCAGCTGATATCTTCTTCCCTCTCATTATTCCTTTGCCTTCTATCCTCTGTTATTTCCACTCTCTTTTATGTCTACCTCTTTTATTTTTGCTTTTAGGATTTTCTGTGCCCTGTCTTCTGGCTGCTCACCAGAGATTTTGGAGGACATTTCTTGTTCTTACCAGCCAGTTGCACTGCTGTGCCAGCTTTCTCCTAAGTCTAGGGCCATTTGTCATGAATAGTTGTACCTATGGGTGTCCTGGTGGTGCACAGGGCCAGAGAACTGACAAAAGGCTGTCTTGGTGTGCCCCCTGCAGCCGCCAAGGAGCCCAGAGTAAGACCAGATGGGGAGCAGTGACAGCCTGACCAGGATCAGCATAGAGCTGGTCTTGGGCTCCAGAGATGATGTGAGCAAGCTCCATGTGACATTGGAATTTTAAAAAATGGGTTCTTGTACAGTGGGGTTAGCCAGACAATGAGATGGAAGTGGTTAAGTGTGTCAACTTTGAAATCAAAGTGCCAGTGTTCAGCTCTGGCTCTGCCACTTACTAGCCGTGTGACCCTCGGAAAGTCCATGCTTCAAGTTCCACATTGGTAGTAGAGGAGGTAAATAATAGTATCTACTTGGGCAGTTGTGATAATTTTTAAATGAGTTAGTATGTCTAAAGCACTTAAAACACAACCCTACAGATAGGAGGCACTCCGTAAATTGATAATGATAATGATGATGATGATGATAATGGTGATGATGATGATGAAGATGACAGTGATAGTGATGATGATGATGATGATGGCAGTAATGATGATTACAGTGTTGATGGTGATGATGATGGTGGTGATGGTGATGATGATTGTGATGTAGTGATGATGATGGTGATGATGATGGTGGTGATGGTGATGTGGTGATGGTGATGGTGATGATGATGGTGGTAATGATGGTGGTGGTGATGGTGATGATGGTGATGGTGATGATGAGGGTGGTGATGATAGTGATGATGATGGTGATGATGTTGGTGATGATGATGGTGGTGATGGCGATGGTGATGATGATGGTGGTGATGATAGTGATGATGATGGTGATGATGATGGTGGTGATGATGGTGGTGCTGATGGTGGTGGTGGTGGTGATGATGATGGTGATGATGGTGATGATGGTGATGATGATGGTGGTGCTGATGGTGGTGGTGGTGGTGATGATGGTGATGATGGTGATGATGATGGTGGTGATGGTGATGATGGTGATGATGATGATGGTGGTGATGATGGTGATGATGATGGTGGTGATGGTGATGATGGTGGTGATGATGGTGATGGTGACGGTGGTGGTGGTGATGGTGGTGGTGATGGTGGTAATGAGAATGTTACTATCATGACTATCTGAACACTACAGGAAATGGGCTAAAGAGACATAGATGATTGGAACACACTGGGTGGGCAAGGAGGGTCCATGCACTGGTCTCACAGGTCTCCTCTACACCCTTCACCCCTTCTCAGCTGGACCAGCCTCAAGCTATTTTACCAAACTTAGCAGTGCACTAATCAATGAGGCCATGCCCAACAGCCATTGTCACCAATACACAGTAGACAGACATTGAATTTGCCTTATTACGAAACTGTCCAACACAAGGTCAGTAATGGGTTCTCTAAGATTAGTCAGTTCTCTTTTGTTTCTGGAGTTAAGTGAAATAATGCAACCTGAAATATCTTGATGCTGTCACACTACAGTCTAGGAACACACTTATAGGAGACGTTCTTAAGAAAGTATCTGACAGCGGCCCAGGTAAAATCTGAGCTGGTAACATTTAAAATTGTATACCCACCCAAGGAGAAAATTGTGCTTAATTATTCACACAGTAATCCAGGCTGGCACATTGGTTCAGAAGCCGCACCAGCTGCCAACTGCTCCCCGCTCCCCACTCTTCCCTCCCCTGCTCTTCACCCGTCTGTGCTCCCCTTCCCAGTAACTTCTACAAAAGTGATTATGTCTCAATGTCTTTGTATGTGGATATTTTCATGTCTCTGTCAGACTGGCCAAGCAGAATTGCATATCCACTCAGGAAAAACCTCAGTGTAGCAATTCCAAGGGAAATTACTTTGCTATTTTAAAATGTATGAAATACTACTTATGTTTTTTCAGAATTTCTTCATTATTGTTGTAATCTGCTCTCCAGACCTTGGGTTATCTGAGCTCAGGATACGTGGCACCAGGACCCACCCCGTCACTGGTACCTACAGCCCTGTCCCCCTCCATGCTCTCTGGCCAGGTGTCCCTGACATTTCTTTCTCTTCCCTATGACACAAGCCCCAGCAGTGGCAGGCCTGAGGCAGGAGGCAGGGAGAGGCAGATGTCAGTTAGTAGGGACTTGGGAGCCCACCCGTAGCAGGGTTCCAAGTACTCCAGGCACCGAAGAAATGTTCTGGTCTCAGAGCCAAGGGAGCTTCCAATGCAACACCCTTTCTAGAGGAGCTTAAGGTCTAATGTAAAAAATACAGAAATATAAAAAAGTTTACAAATTGGTGAGTGGGTTGCACTTCCTGAAAGCAGCAGACTCCAATCTGCCATTACAGAGAGAGGCGTGGAGTGAGCTAGGCAGGATTTCAATAACACACGGCATTTGGGGCAAAGGCTTGAGAAAAGAATGACCACCTGGGACCATGGAATAGACCACTCCCCTAGAATGAAGTGGGCAAGGTAGCCGGGTGTGGAGGAAAAGCCAAGAGGATTCACCTAGCATAGGGCTAGCCCATGACCTCCTTAAAGTATTTCACCTGCAGAGAGATAATATGACATTGATATTTCATTGACTGGGTGGGAGGCTACAGGGACAGAGAGCCCTCTGTGATCACCAGCTTCAGTCCATGAGGGGAAAGATAACATTCCCAAGCAAGAAATCAAACCCTGATGGTTAGATGAGCACACAAAGGCTTGTGCAGATAACAGGACTGATCATTGGAAATCAGGGCTGGACTGCAATATATAGAAGTGAAACCTCACAAATTATCTAAATTATAAGGCAGAAAATAAGTTTTATTAGAGATGTGCAATTGAAAGGGCCATAAAGGCTGGAAAGAATCAGTGGACTCATCCAGTTGAGGGGCAATTGTGGATAATAAAATTGGTCTGGGGTAGTGTGGTCCAGTGTCAAGAACACTTAATTGGCCACCAGAGAGTGGACAGCAGGGGGTGCCAGGCAAGGGCAGTGTCATCTATCAACATGCTACTCAAACTGCACACAGCGCAGCAGCATCCTCTGGGAGCTCTTTAGAAATGCGGAATCTCAGGTGCCACTCCAGACCTATTGAAACAGAATCTTCATGTTAACGAGTTTCTCAGTGATTCCTACGCACCATGAAGTCAGAGGCTGTGCTGTTGTCGCACAGTAATCTCAACCCTGGTTTCGCATTAAAATTGCCCGGGTAATTCTGAAAAATAGTAATGCTGTTTCCACCCCCAAGAGATTTTGATTTAATTGATCTGGGGTAGGGCCTGGCCATTAGTATTTTTTAGAAACATTCCACATGGTTCACACATCCAGCAAACTCTGAGAACCAGAGCTGAGAGGGAGACTGTCACATAAAGAAAACATCTTTGATGACTGTAGAGTTTGGGTTCACATCAAGACCCCAAGACTGAGCCCAGTTGGTCTTGGTTTTGAGCTGCAGAGAGACAATGCTTCTCCAGGCGAGTTGGTTAGAAGGAAGTGCAGGACTCAAGTTCATCTGAGAGAGGGAGGGAGTCGTATGCAGCTGTGGATGGGGACACCTGGGCAGAAGCGGGTATGAGTAGAAATCTAAGAACTGACTGGACTGCAGTGGCTCTCAAATGCTCGCATGCATTAGAGTCACCTGGAGGGTTTGTTAAGACACATCCTGTTGGGCTCCACCCCAGAATTTTTAATTTGATGCATCTGGGGTAGGGCTAAGAATTTTCATGGGAATTTGGTTGGACCCAAGAATGCATGCTGTGGGATGGTAGACAAATTATTTACATCTTCTTGGCCTCTGTTTCCTCGTTGGTAAAATATCTAGTCTTGATCACAATTTGTCAACTTCAGCACTATTGATGCTTTGGGCCAATAATTCTTCATTGTGAAAACCTGTCCTGTGCATTGTAGGATGCTATGCGGCATCCCAGTCTCTACCCACTAGATGCCAGCAGCAGCCTTCCCCACCCCAGTTGCGACAATAAAAATTCTCCAGACATTGCCAAATGTCCCCTGGGGTGAAGGGGTACAAAATCATCCCAAGTTGAGAACCTGCTTTCTACATAGCTTCCCATTTTTGTTTTTTTTAACAGGTGGCAAAAATATCTTTTCTCATTTTGTGAAAACTAAGTCTCCAAATTATATCAAACATGATTATTTTCAAAGTAAAACAAATCACTCTGAAAATGTATGTATTTGTTGAGAGCCTAGTTTGTGGCCGGTGCAGTGTTCCTTCTGGTAGAAGGCGGTTTGGGGGAAGTGGCCGAAAGCATGTGCTTCGGCACCACATTGCCTAGTTTTAATCTTGAGTTGCCCAACTTACCAATTATAGGCTATCGGCAAGGTTGTTTTTTCTTTTAACTTTTTATTTTGAACTAATTTTAGATTTATAAGAAAGTTGTAAAAATAGTACAGAGTTCCCACATATCCCTCCCTTAGCCCCCACCAATGTTAGCATCTTACATAAACATGGGACAGTTTCTTGACTGCCTTCTGCCTCAGTTCCCTCATCTATAAAACAAGGATCTAAGACCACACATCTCATACAGACATTGAAAGGGTTGAATGGAATAATTCATGTAAAATACTCCGAATAGCTCCTGGTATATATAACTGTTCAAACATTGTCAGTTATTATTTTTTGCTATTCTCTGTGACTTTAAAATCTCCAAAAACAATGAGTCTTTAACAGAGAAACAGACCCCAAAGGGCGGAGTGCACCTGGCAGCTTTAGCTATCCATCTGGCCTACCTGTGTGTGCACCTCCACCTGGCTGGGCTTACATTTAATCCATACATTCCCAGTCCACCTGTTTCTCCCTCCTGGCATCCTGAAGGACCTCTGGACTTTTCCAAGACTTGCACTTTATCAAGGCCTCCTGCACACTGATCACTGTTACATTCCAGTTGTTTGTTCCATGGACCTCAGTTGCTGCTAAAGTAGACAGTCTCCTGTTCTGTACAAGTAGGGCTAACAGAAATGTTTGTGAGCAACGATGCTGCAATATTAAATGCATCCTGGAGGCTGTTCAATGCTCTCCCTCAAGGGTCCCCCTACAGAATTTTACACAAAAGCACAGATGCCTCCAATCTGAAAGTGCATCATAAATTCTTGCTGAGCCTGAAATTTCTGGGCTTTCAGTGGCTCTGGAGAGAATGCTGAGTCAGAATGCATAGCAGAAAGCATCCTGGGGTCTTGCCTTAGTCTTTGCCCAACGGTAGAAAAGCAAATTGAAAATGCTAATTAAACTTACTTCCTCACTTCCTAGTAGGGCCAAGGCTCTGTATATTTCATAGATGGGAGGACTAAGATGAAGGCAAGAACCAGCCTCTAGCAGTCACATGACTTGCAGGGGGATGAGGGGGAGGGAGAGGCTCCAGGGCAGAGCTGGGCTGGGCTGTGCAAACCAGCGGAGCTCAATCTGCTTGGCCGGTGTGCTGGGTGCTGAAGTCTGCTTCTGCCAGAACGGCATTGATATTCTGCACGTATAAAAGAAGTTTCAGTCTCACACTAATTGCTGTGAGCTCAAATGCATCAGTCATTAGAGCTTCACTTTGGGAAGGGAGCTGAATCCTAATTGTAGAATTGTTATGTGTCCTGGCAAACACTGTCCTTCCAGGATCTAGAAACAGCCCTGCCCAGTATAGATAGTCCAGCTGCCACTCTTTGTTTCTCTGCCACTCTCTTTCTCTCTGTGTCTCTCTTGTGTCTCTGTCTGTCTCTTTTTCTCTCTGTATCTGCCTCTTTGTGTCTCTGTCTCTCTCTCTTTTTGTCTTACACACATACAATCCTGTAGCCCCATCTCCTCAGTACTAGGCTACCCTTGACTGTTCTAGTACCCTGGACTTAGCTGACATGCTGGAGGTTCATTTAAAACCTTATGCTCCAATCCGAAGGGGTCATTATTTGTTTTCAGCCTGAGCTTATGCAGTCTGTCTAGAGAAGTAGTCTGGAGTGTGGCTTTGAGGAATTAAACCAAGAGAGGGACCACAACTGCAAAGATGATGGTCACATTAACAATTTCCATGTTACCTGCTAATTTTAAGCCTTTTCTGTGTGCTAAGCTCTGTACAGACTTTACTTCATTGAATCCTTAGAACAAGCCCAGGAGGCAGTTACTGGCAATCTCACCGTCATGCTAAGAGCATGTGGTTAAGAGCACAGACTCCAGAATCCATCTGCCTGGATTCAAATCCTGACACTCCCATTAGTAGCTGAATAACTGTGGGCAAACTACTCAGCCCCTCCATGTTTTTATTTAATCATAGAGAAATAGGGATAATGGGAATAAAGTGTCCCCTCAAAGGATCATGGTGAGGCTTGAATGAGTCAATACACAGAAAGTGCTCAGAACAGTGCCTGGCACACAGTCAGTGCTAATGCACTTTAGCTATTACTGCAGAGAGAACTGACATACAGAGAGACTTAAAACCTGCTTGCAGTTCATTCCTGCCTTCTTAGCCACCGTGTTATAAACATGGATGTGGGTGGCCAGATTTCCTTTAGACATGCACCCAGTGCCCATTAACAAAGGGTCCTGGGTGCAGTCATTGTGCCTGTCCTTTGGTGAAAGGGGCCACAGAACAATTGCTTATGTTGTATGTGACTTTGGGTTCCCAGCTCTGGCATGACGCTGCCATTGAAATGAAGGAAAGACATTTTCCACTGATTGGTTCCCCAGGTAAAAAGCATTCAAGATGCAATTCGAGATAAGAAGCAGAAGTTCAACTTCCTTGGGGAGGAGATTAGCCTGGATCCTTCCGTCGGCATCTTCATCACCATGAACCCAGGCTATGCGGGGCGCACAGAGCTGCCGGAGAACCTAAAAGCTCTCTTCAGGTGAGCGTTAGCTCCGCCCCACACCAGAGGCCCATGAGAAAAGTTTCCTTTATTTTTCCACTGAAAATGTATGACACATACATTAGCAAAAATTGGAACATACAGAAAAGTAGATTTTTAAAAACCACCTGTAATGCCATTATCAGTAAAATTATTTTTTGTTTAATTGTATTCTGTACTTCTTTATATACATATTTTAAATTCATACTTCCCTAGTCTACATTTGTGGTCTACATGCAGTTATATATTGCTTTGTTGTTTCATTTCACAGTCTATCATAATCATATCATAAGTATTTTCTTATACTTCATATTTTTAATAAATCTCATTTTATAGCTGCATGTTTTTCTATCAAGTACATCATCCGCAATGTAATTAACTAGTCCCCCATGGTTAAATATTATGACTTTCTAACATTTAAAATAAATTTATGTATAATGTTGCTATGTACATCTTTGTATATAAACCTTTTGTGTGTGTGTGCATGATTATACCCTTTGGCTAGCTTCCCAGAAGTGGAATTACTGTGTTAACAGGTGGGAACATTTTTAAGGCTCTTGATACACTTTGCCAAATTGCTTTCTAAAAAGAGTAGTACCAAATTACTCTCCTAGTAGTGACGCATGACAGCACCTCTTTTATGTCACCCCGGCTACTGGTGGATATTGCTATGTTTCTGAATTTTTATTTTGATAAGAAAACAGAAATACATTTCCTAGCAGGAGCTGGAGTCTGCCTTCTTTTTACAGAAAAGAGAAGTTGGCCCAGTAAAGAGAAAACTGAAGGATGCTTCATGGCTTCTGATTTTCTGCTTACTGAACTTGTACCTAAGAGAGACAGACTATGGGGAGCCATAACAAAGCTGTTTGGCTCATGTTTGGAATGAGATACCCAGTGCTCTCTGTGTGGGGAGGTTGTCAGTGCTTTTATGGATTTTTGGAAGAAGCATAGGGTCCTCTTCCTGGTTGCAGACAACTGACTATTTCTTGTATCCTCTCAGGATGTTAGGGAGCTAGCTCTCTGGCCTGTTCTTATACAGGCACCAATCTCATTCACAAGGGCTCCACCTTCATGACCTAATCACCTCCCAAAGGCTATACCTCCAAATACCATCACATTGGAGGTTAGGATGCCAACATATGTGAGTCTGGGGGGACACAAACATTCAGTCCATTAAAGTTTATAACATACATTCATAGAAGAAAATTTGGAGGGAAAAAAACCAGAAAAATATTTTTTAAAATATCTACTTTTAGATTAAATTCTCACAAAGACCCTATGAGGCAGATACTATGAGTTTACTCTTCGTGCAGTGAGAAAATAGATGAATTCAGCAAGGTGCCCACTGTAGTAACTGTAGTTACTAGATTAGCTATAACCCAACGAGTAAGCAGCAGACCTGGAGTTTGACCCCAGAGCTTCCGCTCTTCCCCATCCCAGTCCTATCATCCAGAGACAATCAGTGTCACCATTTGGCATTTTTTCCTTCTAATACTCCAATACTGTGTGAGCAGAGCATTTCTTTTTCAAAACTGGGATCAGACTCTATATAGTTTAGTATCCTGCTTTCATGACCTAATGTCTTCCCATGTCACTAAATAGTTTTCCTTCTACAGCATTATTGCTCACGGCCACATTGCATTGTGTTGCGTGGATGCATATTCAGTCTTACGTTCAGGCTGCAAAATGATTTCGAGAATCTAAGCATTTGGTTGCTCCTTTGAATTTGAATGCAGTGTAAAATATCTCAAGGAAAAACATGTCCTTAAATAAAATATTTTTTGAAAATTTTATGTCAGCATAAGGAAATGCAATTAAAGAAATATAACAACCTTAGGCTGCTATTACATACCTAATAAATTAACGAAAATTATTAATTTTAAAATCAAATGTTTCTAGTGCCAAAAGAAAAAATTCACAACAAATTCTTGTGCAGAGACAAAGACCCCATTCTATATTCTTTTATATGCCATTTTGTATCAAGGTGGGGTTGATAGGCACCTACCTTAGGCAATAGCATTAAGGATTTATCTTCATATGCAAATAACTACAGATTAAGATCTGGGTGTCTATGTTTGGAAGAGACACATTTGAGCATGAGGAATAGGGAGACTCTCAGTTTCTTCTGGACACTTAGAGGAACTCAATTCCTCAATCTTAGCCTTTAATCTATTCTAGACAACATGCTTTACTAATCCATGCCTTGAGTAAGGTACACCCGACTCAAGTTACAAGACTCAGGTTGTAGCCCCAACTCTGCCCATATCAGCTAACATTATCTATCACCTTGAGCAAGAGAGTTCACTTCCTTTATTCTTACTTAATGCATCTCTAAATTAAAAGTCTTAGATGAAATAATTGCTAAGATCCTTCCACGAGTTTTTATACTCACAGATGCCTCCATGTGTGATCTCAGCTGGTGTCTCTTGTCTTACAATCTCCCCTTCAACTCTGTGGTTGGAAAACTGTCTCAAACTTCTGCCTCCCTGTACACAGGCCCTGTGCAATGGTTGTTCCAGACTTTGAGTTGATCTGTGAAATCATGCTGGTAGCCGAAGGATTTATCGAAGCCCGGTTATTAGCCAGAAAGTTCATCACCCTCTACAAGCTGTGCAAAGAGCTTCTCTCCAAACAGGTATGGTCTCTGGGATGACCAAGCACCATGCAACAGTCCCAGCTCTGGAAGGGTTTTGAGGCCAACATACTAGGGAAACAGAGCTTTCTCATATAGAGTCGCTGTGCCCATAAGCATATTAAAAACTCTGAGCACTTCTGCAGTAAAGATTCGTGTTCATTTTTTTGGCTCAGCCTTTTTCAAAGTTTTTGACCATAGTACTCCATTTTTTAACAGAATATTTAGCAACACCTCACAGACACCAGTGTCCCATGAGGAACACCATAGTAGCCAATAAAAATCCCGGGAGGGAATGGCCTCCACCTGAAGGGACATGAGATGGGAAGGGGTTGGGAGGAGAGTCGGTCATAACTAGCCCCAGGCTTCTCATTGCTCCTTGGCCTTAAGTGCAGCTTCTGTTTACAGCTCTCATGTTTCCAAAACATGACCAAGCACCCTCAAAGTCTGTGCCTTGGATGGGGAATGTCTTGGTGTCCAGAAGAGCTGACCAAGCTTCCCTGGGCTGTTCCCAGTGAGTTTCAACTTCCCTTTGGGGTTGTCTTGCTTTGATCAACTTGGCTGCCACCACATGGGCTCTCTCTCTGTGAAGTCTGTCCAAGATGGAGTAGGTTTTCTTCGTACTCCCTTTCCCATTGTATCCTCT